GTAAGGTACTCTGAGGCACGCTAAGATAGGCTAAGGTACCCTAAGGTAGGCTAAGGTACCCTAAGGTAGTCCAAGGTACCTAAGGTACTCCAAGGTACCCTAAGGTAGGCTAAGTTACCCTAAGGTAGGCCAATGTACCCTAAGGTAGGCCAAATTACCCTAAGATAGGCCAAGGTACCCTAAGGTACTCCAAGGTACTGTGATATATTGACATTTATAGTACATTGAAAGTATATACTCGTAAAAAGCAAGCCTGTTTGCAGGCTATTAGGCATGGACCTTCGGGCTTTTTTAACTTGAAGACTAAGACAATAATATTATTGTACATGTGTTCGAAGTAATACAATATATAAATTTACAGTGATGGCAGCGGTGAATCTCGCTTTAAATTGTAGGAAATGGCAGAAATAAAACAAGCCTGTTATGACAGTACGGGAGACGTAGATTTGTGTCTTATGAAAATGAAGTTCTACTGTTCTACAAAGAAATGTGAAGGTAAACAAGAAGCTCACGCCTTAGCGAGTAAACTCGAGAGGGCGGCGTTTCTATGTATTGCGAGATTAGACGATGAACTTCAAGATGACCCAAAAGAAGTTAAAGCCGCTTTAAGGAAGGAATTCGACAAAGAATCGATCGACCATGAGAAAGCTGTCGACGAATTACGAGGTTTAAGGCGAAAAGGCGGTGAAACACCACCACAGTTAGCGTGGAGAGTCGAGAAGGCTTACCCGGAGTTATGCGCGTCAACATACGGATCGGCAAAGAAAACAAAGGAACAAATGTCACATGATACTTTTTGGGAGCTATTGACAATGCAATGAGTCTAAAGATAAAGAGCGACAGTAAACATCGAGATTTAAATTTAACACAACTTTCTGAAGAATTAGATCGGCTCGAGCTAATTTATAAAACAACAGCGCCAAAAGTAAACCTCGAAGTAAACAATTTCAAAACGACAGGGGAAGCAGACGAAATATCGTTAAGAAGGATAATCAGAGAAGAGCTAGCAGCCGCCCTATCCAAAGAAAACGATGGAAGTCGGGAAACGGAAGACGAAACAAAACGTACGGTCGGGTTCGTTGGAAAGAGAAATTTCCCGCCAAAACTAAGGAGTGGAAAAACCGGTAAAAATCAAGCGTGTTTCCACTGCCAGTCGCCTGAACATTTTCGGAAAGACTGTCCATTTAAAGATCTTTGTCAACGCTGCTGGCAAAAGGGCCATACAGCACCATCTTGCCATGCTCCAAGCCCTCGCCCTTCGCCGTCTTTAAACTCCAAGCGGCTGGGAACAATCGTCAGCAAAAATAAATTCGTTCTCAGCCGCGAAGAAATTTGTTACAGCAGAGAGTTCAAGCATGAGTTTATTTGTGATTCTGGAGCAGAGGTTTCATGCAGTTATTCCAACGACGTTAGCACAAGAACATTACATGAAAATTCAACCAATTACACGTCACGTAGAGATGGCTAATGGGACACACGCAGAATGCAGAGGTGTGGTTCAAACATCAGTTACGGTAGGGACAAATAGTTGTATATTGAGTTTTTTTGTGGTAAGTGGTGTTCAAAACGGGATTCTGGGCCTGGACTCTTTGGGGAAATTGGGTGTATCGTTGAACACAAGAAAAAAATTGGCAACAATAGATGGGGCCCAACCCGTGTTACAACCGGAAGTAGATACCCCACAGGAAATGCTAAAGTGTTGCCACATACGAGGTGCGTAAAGTCGTGATATTAAGCCATTTGAAGAAATATTCATTTGGGGTAAATTGGAAGATAAGAATGAAAAACTTACTAGAGATTCGTATATCGAAGGTACGGAACATTTTCAGCAGAGAACTGGGCTTCTTACAGCCCCAATAAAGATTTCGGCAGAAATGATGAACGATGAAAATAAAATCCCTATATACGTACTGAATACTACTGATAAATCAATCAGAGTTTATAGAGAACAAACTGCGGCCACAATTCAGAAACTGCCAAGTACCCACAACATAGCACATATTTCAGAGTCAAATATGGGGGGAAATAATCCATCATCACAATATGACCCGGTCCCAGAAGTATCAGTTGGTGAACAATTGACAACACAACAAAGAGAAAACCTAGAAGTTTTAATTCGAAAAAATACACAAGTTTTCGACTACCCAGGAAACAGTGGGTTCGCCACAACAATAGACCACACAATACCCACAGCCGTATCTGATCCAATTGTGTGCCACCCCAGACTACACAACCTGGGGTTAACACAAAAAATTAATGAAGCAGTAGGAAACCACGTAAATTCGGGACATTTGACACCCTCTAAGTGCCCTTGGGCATTTCCAATTTATCTGTATTGAAACCAGATAAAACAGTTCGATTGTGTGTAGACTACAGACCACTTAACAAAATTACCCAGAATGACCCATATCCAATGGGAATATGCAAGAGGTCTTAGATAATCTATCAGGTGCTAACTATTTTAGTGTTATTGACTTGGCCCAAAATAAGTTATTTGCAGGTCCCACTGGCCAAGGAAGATCGACAAAAGACAGCGTTTCGATCACCTACTGGGTTTTGGGAATGGACAAGAATGCCATTTGGTTTAAAAGGAAGTCCGGCAACTTTTTCTCGGTTGATGCAGAAGGTTCTAGGACACATTCCACCACATCGGTTGGCATTGTACATGGATGATATCTGTATTATTAGCAAAACGTTTGAGGAACATTTGGTAAATCTCCAGGGAGTATTTGATGCATTGCGACAGCATGGATTACGAGTTAAAGCTAAGAAATGTGCTTTCGCAATGAAAGAAGTGAAATTTCTTGGACACAAAGTTTGCAACAAGGGTGTACAGCCAGAGGAACATAAAGTAAAGGCAATTCGTGCATGGGTTGCACCAACTTGTCTTAAAGAGGTGCAAATGTTTTTGGGTGCAGTTGGGTGGTATCGGAAGTTTATCAAGGATTTTAGTACAATTGCTCGACCATTAACATGGCTTTTGGAGAAAGATGTCACATTCACTTGGGGTAATGAGCAAGGTGATGCATTCAATACACTAAGACATAAGTTGGTTAAAGCTCCAGTATTAGCCCATCCTGACCCCACTCGACCCTTTGTTGTTACCACGGATGCAAGTAAAGTGGGTCTGGGTGGTGAACTATCACAAGAAGATCCACAAGGACAATTACATCCGGTTGCATATTTCAGTCGTACATTGACCAAACGAGAACGTTCATATCCAACTTATGACAGAGAAGTGATGGCTATGCGAGACACGCTTAAGCATTTTCGGTATTATCTGTTAGGAGCACAAGTAGTGACGAGGACCGACCACAAACTTCTTCTAAAGATCCTGGAACAGAAAGATCCATTTGGACGAAGAGCGACATTGATGAGAGATATAGCAGAATTCGAACCACGCATAGAGTTTATTCGAGGGGAGGATAATCACATGGCAGATGCTCTTAGTCGGATCTGATGGAATGTCAAGTGGGAAGAGAGAGATGAGGATACTAGTAAAGTGGCTACTATTGGTGGCTCTCAAGACGAGATTGGTCCATGCAAGGATGTAAAGTTGGACATAAATGATTTCCAATTGCGCAAGAACGTGACCCAACCCTTAAGCCACATATTTCCACTCACCGAAACGAACATGGTTTATTCACACGAGATCATAAGAAGCAAGTGTTACTTCCAGCATCGCTTGTTCGGCCCACCATATTATCATTAGCTCATGACGAAACACGACACCAAGGAGCAGATAAAATGCTTGCAAGAATTGAACCTCATTATTGGTGGCCAAAGATGAAAGCAGAAGTAGAGAACTATGCAAAAACGTGCCAACGCTGTGCTGCTACTCTTGCCCAGGGACATAGAAAAGCACCCATTCATCAACGACCAAAAGAAGAGAAACCATTTGCGTTGATAGAAGTAGATCTCAAGGGTCCATTATCGAGAACGAAAGAGGGATTTGACAATATTGTTGTGATAACAGATTCATGTACAAAATACGCAGAGATGCATCCAATTCGATACCCTGGATTCCAGAGCCTTCGACAGTAACTAATAAATTGAAATGTCGCGAAGGCTCTGGTTCAACGGGGCGATTCTTTGATTAAACCGCGCCAATCACAAAACAGAATTAGTGGTTTTAGTACAGAATCTGTACTAAAACCACTAATTTTGTTTTGTGACTGGCGCGGTTCAATCAAAGAATCGCCCCGTTGAACCAGAGCCTTCGCGACATTTCAATTTATTATTTACTGTCGAAGGCTCTGGAATCCAGGGTACCAATTCGTGGACAAACCAGCCAAGTTGTTTGTAAGACACTCATGGGTTGGATATCAAGATATGGTTTACCAAACAAAGTGCACTCTGACAATGGACCTTGTTTCATAAGCGAAACATTTGAACAGTTTTGCATAACGCAAGGCATTGAGCATACTTTCAGTCTATCCTATAGGCCACAAGGAAACGCGGGTGTAGAACGGATTAATAGTACGATGGGGGAAGCACTCACAAAATTGGTAGATAAGCATCCCAACCGATGGTCTCAACACCTACCTAACGTACAACTAGCATACAACACAGCAGTTCGTACAAGTACAGGAGTTTCGCCGTATGAACTAGTTTTCAAGGAGCACCCGTGATCAAAATTCGAAATTATAACAGAGAAGATATCACCAGCAACGGTTAGAGAGAAAACGGAACGACTGCGCGAGACTGTTAGTGAGGTATTCCAAAAAGCCCAAGAGTCCGATGCCAAGTTAGCGGAAAAACGCAGAGAACGATACAAAGGTAAAACTTCGTTTAAATCGTTGGGGGTGGGTCAACAAGTTTGGAAAAGAAATTTACGAGCAAAAACATTTGCAGATCGGTGGACGGGACCCTATGTCGTGGTAAAGCCCACGTCTGTAACCAAAACATCTTATGTAGTGAGAAGGAATAATGGAACTAAAGAAGAAATTGTCCATTACAATTACCTAAAATCTTATCAGATTCGACCTGTCAAGAAACCAAAGTCAAGGAATCCACCAAAGAAGAATGGGGTCGGACACCCAGCAATGGGTACCAGTGAGGACAGTGAATCTGACAGCAGAGTAGAGGAAATGCAACCAGAGAGAAGATATCCAGAAAGAATTCGTACACCTCCAGAAAAATACACATAATACTTTTAAAGGGGGGAGTGGTGTGATATATTGACATTTATAGTTACATTGAAATAGATACTCGTAAATAGCAAGCCTGTTTGCAGGCTATTAGGCATGGACCTTCGGGCTTAATAATTAACTTGAGGACTAGGACTATTATTGTACATGTGTTCGGAGTAATACAATATATAAATTTACAGACTCATCATATGTTCCTCGACTGCTTGAATCAACTGGATCTTTCGTCTAACATGACAGAATTTCTTTCCTTTCCTTCACAAGAAAATATCCTCGGCCATTTTATCGTAATGAAGTTTCAGTTGTCGACGAGGACTTTTGTCTTCAACTGAATGTTCGTAGTCTCAAGAAGCAAAGCCATTTTTTTCAAGAACTAAGGAAACCCCAGTGAACTATATATACATGTTATAGTTATATATACATGTTATATAGTTCAGTGGGTACCCTTGATGAAAATGTCGAGTGTCGCAGAATGTATTTGTGAAGAGCTGGGGAACTGCCACTTGCTTTGGCACACGCTGGGGCTTATATATATTGAAACGCGCGAATGCAGTTTCTCTATTGTATCTGAACGTTTGCGACTGTTTACTCGGCAACGAGCCGTGCTGCAGGTAACGACTCATCTGAACGTCTTGCCGTTCACACGAAATGGCTTATCAATATGGAGTATATATTAAGAGCCCGCGCGTGGTAAGGCTGCTGTTCGATTTTCAGCCAGAGGGGGTGTGGAGGGTGTCTTAGTGTTTCGGGTGTGCGGGTTGTGATAAGGTGAACTTGAAAGATGTTATTTGCACTTCACTTGGTTGAACTAGAATGCTGGGTTGGTGGATGCTAATCCAGGACCAAGTGGATTATCCAATTTTGGTGAAAAAGCGCTGAAATTAAAAAAAGGCCCAGCCGCCCAGGTCTAGGCTGTATGATAGACCCCAGGGTGCAGTGTGAACAGATAAACCACTCGTAATGCACTAAGTCTGTAATTTTCATTATTGCGCATATAAAAAATGACAATTTGTAAACTACAGCAGCGATAGGTACATTAAACAGTTTTAGAATAGATAAAACCCAGGGTCAGCGGCGTAACTCCTTTGCCTTTGGGCGCTGTCCGCCATCCCTTAGCCAAGATGAAAAAGTGTTAACGTTCGACATCAAAACGAGAAACATGCAACCATGGAATATTTTGTTTATTATTTGTACCTGTTCACGAATGCCTAAATTTAGTTAGCCAAATTTTAATAGCGCTAGAGTTTTGTGCCCAAGTAACCCAAGAACAGAAGGGGGCCCATTTTAATTTAGACCGGGGGCCCTTAGCACGAGATTATGCCACTGCCCTGGGTACGAGATTGCGAAAATATTTTTTCACGAAATATTTTTTCTCCTAAACACCATTTCGAAGCGAACTAGTTACGCAAGAATTCAGAGAGTGACGGTCCCATTCCTAAAATTAATCTTGTTGGATAAATTCGTTTTTACTCCGACTTTCTTGTAATGAGGGCCAACCAATTTCAGGAATGTTTTGATATGCAAAGCAAATGTCACTTTCAGGACCCGTCACTCTCGGAAGTCTACGCGGTACATTATAGCAGTGAGATACTGTTTAGTGAGAACGACGCGAAATTAAAAAATCAAAGAAAATCTCTTCTCATTAAATAGCGTACAAAATAGAATTTGTTAGCTTTGAATCTGAGGAAACTGTTCGTAGAATCAGACATTCAACAGTTGCTCCTAATTCAGCCATAAAGAATTTAAGGCACACTCTCAGTGAAAACAACGCCTTCATTAGTAATCCGTTCCTACAATATGAATTTATTAGTCCAGAATCACTTTACATCCATGCAGATCAGCGATTTTTCTGGGACTTGTAGTATTTATTCCTATACATGTGGATACGTCGTCATATTTTTGGGTGTGATCTACATGGATGTTAACTTTGTTTAAATCCTACAAGATTGTTTATTATATCAAGTAAAAACTTTACATCTGCATTTTGATGAATCATACGTATTTTTAAGGATGAGGAAAACTACATGAATGGATTTGTAGACTGTCTTTGTTGTGTTGGAAGCCCACCACCGGCCTATATTGGATAAATAAAAATGAATAAGCAAAAGTGAAGCTTTACGAAATTGCTGAAGAAGAGAGCATAGGCTATAGGGTTCTGGTATAATCGACTATGGTAGTATTGACGAGTGAAAATTAAAGTAAAGGCGTATGTCAAGCCTGGTTCGCAACTTCGCACTAGCGATTCTGTTGGCGACTTCCTCTTCATGAGGGATGCAAATTGCAGAGCCTGAAATAATTTTAAAATTTGTCCGGAAAAACTTCCGATCAAAACGAAATTTGACCGGAAATTTGCAAAATTGACCGGAATTTTTCTTAGTTTAGTTTGACCAAGTCCCCCCCCCCCCCCCCCCATGAGCAAACTCTGTCAAGCATGAAGACGTGCACTGAGTAAATCACTCTACTTGTAATAATAAAACACAAATGTTTAATTCTGAATTGCTTATTGGAATAATAGTTATAGTGAATAATAATTTAATCACGCCCGCCGACGCTGTTTTTATCTTGACCCGACAACACCACGCTGTAAGCCACCATCTTGTTTATTGGGCCCGTGAACTATACTTTCCAGTTGATTACTTTATATTAGCCTAAGGGAGCGGTCATTATTTATGGCGGGGGGTGGCACCGAAGAGAAAAGGGTTGGGTAAATAAAATTTTGAGTAAGTCAAAGGTTGGGTAAATGAAAAACGAAACAACTCAAAGGTTGGGTAATAAAAATTTATTGTCATTTCCAAAGCATGACTCACTCAAATATTGAAGACTGAAAACTTCAATGTTAACAGTCATATCTTCATCATTTTCCAATTTGTTGGGAGACAAATGTGTCTCCAAGAAAGTAAATGTGCAGACAACATGAAACTTTAGACTGCAGAAAAGTCAGTAAATTTCACAAGCCGAACGTTATCAAACTACAACAAACATTCACAAGCCGAACGTTATCAGACGTATCACAGTAGTGGTAAAGGACTAGTAAGAACGTCTGCGAGGGAGACTAGTAAAGGACATGTGTGACAACTGAATGACATCCTTTTGTAATGTTTTTGGCCAGGGGTGGGTATTTATTTTTTAAATGATACTTGAGGTTGGGTAATCAAATTTTTGATTTTTTAATGGTTGGGTCAGCAACATTTTTGCCACGAAAAACATTTCACTTCGGTGCCACCCCCCACCATAAATAATGATCGGTCCCTAATATAGATAATCCAAACTTACAGATGGTACTCACTGTGCTGAGCGCCGACCGATCATTAAGAAAACATTTTTCTCAAAATTTGGCCGGACAAAATTTCCGATCATTTTAGCATTTGGTCGGAAAAATCGGAACTTGGTCGGAAAACCGCCGGCCGTTATTTCAGGCTCTGTCAGCAAATGACTGAACTCACACACAAATATCGAATTGCTCTTCAGAAGTATACATTTTTAAGTCTTTTGCCCGTTGATGCCAATTTAAACTACTTTATTGTCAATATAAATGGTCTTACCATGAATGGATTAGACTGTGGTGGCTGTTGCCAACCGCCACCAAACTGTTGTTGTTGTTGTTGCTGGTGCTGCTGACCAAACTGGTTAGTTCCCATACCAGCTGACATTCCACCAAACGCTTGTTGCTGTGGTTGTTGCATGGTCGCACCACCAAAATGCCCACCGCTAAACTGACCGCTCCCCATCTGCCCACCCTGTGCACCGCCAAATTGATTACCAGCAAATTGAGAGCCGGCGAACTGAGACCCTCCAAACTGAGAACCACCGAATTGGGAAGCGCCGAATTGTGAAGCACCGAACTGTGAGCTACCTAATTGAGAAGTTCCTAAAGGAGGAGCTCCGAACTGCCCGCCTCCTAGCTGTGTGGAGACACCTGCAGATACCTGTCTTTGTCCAGTATTAAATCCCGCTGATTGCATGGAACCTGTTCCTCCTCCAGGACTACCAAATATTCCGGGCTGACTTCCGCCCATTTTACTGAATTGATTAGCTGCCATAGCAGTCATTCCAGCGCCAGCAAAGTTCATCGACTGTGCTGATGGCTGTGCGGTAGTTCCAAATCCAGCGTTTCCGCCAGGGAACCCATTCGATTGTGCCATACCTCCAGTGGAACTTTGAAAGGGGTTAGACTGGGCAGGGAGTGCCGTGTTTCCTATACTAGCAAAGGGATTGGGGCCGGATGACATAGCTGAGGAGCCAGTCGATAGCCCGGTAGATGGACTCGATGACAATCCAGACATGCTTGATATACCGAGAGAATTGCTGGTATTGCCAGAGCTACTGAATACAGATCCTGGTTGTCCCACACTAGGTGTCGTTGTTTGTACTTTGAAAATAGAGTCTAAATCACTTAACGCTGCGTATCTATCCCCAACTGATACCAAACTTGCGGCTGACGATGGTGGAGCGCCTGCAGCAGAAGTTGAAACCATTGGTCCAAAATTTCCTACAGTTGACGTTGTCTTGGTTTGTTGTGAAGCTTGAAAGAAACAATGTAAGATGTTAAATAACTATAATTAGTTCAAATAAATTCTTCGCCAACAAATAGTAATGTAATATTCGACACACGAAATAAACAATCAAATTGAGTCAAATTGTAACGCAATGTTTAATACAGTCCTGGTATAATTTAGAAGATACAGTTTATACATTTTAGATTTGATAAACACAAGTCATAAAGCGCACGAAATTGTCATTAATACGATTTTAACATTTTACACAGATCAATACAGTAAACATTTATAAACGAAGTTAGAAAGAAACAAACGAGTTGCATCATGCAAAATAAATAAATAAATGAACTTCTTCCAACAAATTTTGGCCAATTTCATGAAATTTCCAACCACCGTTTTCAGAAACGGTTTCCTCGGAATGACAAAGCTACCGCTCATTTACCACTAAAAATCCTCGCACGTGTCGTATTACTGTAAAACTAACATAAAGTTGCGGAAAACAAA